AGCATGATTACGAACAGTCTGCACGCAAACAAAATAGTACATCTAACGACAACCAATGGTTTAAATATTTTATTTATAAAAAATAAAAATAAATGGTCTTTTTTTATATACATTTTATCTACTAGTTCATGGTTACCTCTATAATATAAATGTTTTCGCTCCCACTGTAACCATATACGGTACCGCATAATTTATTTCAAAAAAAATTTGGTTTTCATGTAGTGGTTGGCAGTCAGGCTAACGTGCATATTAACTGAAGTCGTGTATAAAGTGTGAGGAAACTTCAAAATATTTCACTCCTACATGAGTATACAGATACACGTATGTGCATAAGTACGATGCTGAAATCCAACAAAATTTATTACTTAAGTTATCATCGCAAAGTATATTAATTTCTTTACTCTCTTTGTCACACAATTGCTTGTATTCGACTCGACTACTTTCTTCAAAAAATGGTTAAGATTCAGTCGAATATCCGTAGATAAATTCGAAAGAGAGTAAGAGAATGAATTTTAGTCAAAACGTAGTTCGATACCCCAGTAAAGTTAAAACTCTAAAAATGAACAAAAGCGCACGAGTGGTAAGTAAATATTTCGTTGCTTAAAAATAAGCTTGAAATTTTAAAAATCTTTCTTGATTTTGTCAATCATTCAGGAAATGGCCTATCAGTGTCAACGGGGTAATAATAGGAGGAAATAGCGTTGCTTGTCCTTTACGCAGATAGAGCTTTAAGCGCATTCGTATTGATTGTAGCCGCAGCTTAAGAGAGAGATGTTTATCGATCAACCATTCATCATAGCTACGTCTTTACCGTTATTTTATTGAATGGCACGGGTCGTGACCAACAACTTAATATTCAAGCGGACTCAAGTTTTAAGTAGTAGTGTAGTAGAATTTTCAATACAAGCGAGCTAGCATATGATCTATCTAAGTTATCCTTCATCTTTTAAATCCACACTTTTAAATTTATTTGCAAAATATATAGGCAATAAATCAATAAGTAAATAAATTCAGTGATATACGAATCCTTTGAAACGAAGTAATCTGCAGAGCAATGCGATCACCTATCGCTTCATTGTACATCAAGATCATTACAATCACTTATTGAATTCGTTAAAATTCTCCTTCTAAGGTATGAACAGATTAAATCCCCTTTATCTACAAATACGAATCGCGGAACATTTATTGGCAGAAAGTGCACCTTTTAATAGATCTATTGTCGAATGAATCTGATCGCATGCTATCTGTCAATCTCTTCACTTATTTATCTGTCTATCTCTTGCAAAAAAAATTATCATAAAAAGATAAAACTCTGCATGTGCATTTTTTTTGGTGGGTTGAGTTGAACAGAATCCCAGATTAAAGAAACTTTGATAAAAACAACAAACTTCAACTTATAATAAAATATATATGTAAAATTTATAACAAGACTTCAATAGTGATATTCACGTGATGAATATTTAATTTAAATGGCGAGTATATAAGATACGTCCGAACATAATAATTGTTTGGATATTTACACCGTTTAATATCGATCTCGTGTCGTACGCATTGAGTTGACTGACTGCCGCCCACGTCGCACAACGTTCGTGTCAACAAAATGTTAAATGTTATTAATAAGTTGGAATATAATGAAAATAAATTCATTTTTGAGGCATTTTCCCCAGGAAAAGCAAATTAATTAGTCATCCATAGTGTTCTTGTTACTGTTGTGTTACATAAAAACATAAATCTTTTTATTCATTGAGGGATGAAAGGAAGAGCATTTAAATGAAATCTTTTTCGACCAATTAAGATTAAAGGAAAGATTATAATTAAGTTAATTAACGTCCCTTTAATTTGATTTATAAAACTTGTTTTATATGTACATAGCATTGACAAAGTTGTATATTTACATTGGTTAAGAGACTTTTCTTCTCTTTATCGCATACAACATATAAAAAACTAACTGAAACAAAAAAAAAAAACAAGGTTAGGTGCTTTAAAGATTTAAGATGAGATATTTTCGCTCGATGAACCAAAACGAAATGATATAATAGAGTTGGTGTAGAGCCTGTGAAAGGCATGTGGTTGTTTGGCAAATGTTTTTTCGTTTTTAATAACCAGAAATACGGAACAGCGACTTGATAATGTGCATATAGTTTTGATTAATGCAAAGTTCTGAAACGACTTAATCCGGGCCGCTTGTCTCCCATCATTCATTGTTAGAATGCTTGTGATCGTAAAAATTGAGAAAGAGATGTAGGATTTGGCATATTTACTCTTAGGTAGCGGACAAGACAGAAATCGTACTTTAAATTCGCGTTGGAAGTTAATGTGAAATTAGGTACAAAAATTTACTAGGATCAGTAGAAATTTCTGTGAAGGGACAGGCTCGCAATATTTTTGAAGCTCTCGGTTGCAGGACAAAGTAGAAAGTAGCTTCGGTTGCTCCTTACACACTTGTAGTGCGACAAAAAGGAAAAGACAAAAAAGTTCTTAGTAAAACTTCGTAGGTTGCATACAACCATACGGCCTTAAGACAGAAAATCAGCATAGAAAGCTGCAGCAGGTGAAACCAATTATGCCACGCACATAGACACGTAACTATCTCACTCAACAGAGCCCCTTTCGTTGAGAAAGATGTGAGCATAGAGAGCCTCTAAGAGAGTACTAGTAATAGGTGATACAAGTATTTTATGGAGCCAACCAAATGGTTAGCATAAAAGTGGTTTAAATCGGATAGTTGATCCGTTCACATACAATTACTTTAAACCGCGCGCTTGTCATTTCATTGTTTTGTCTTTAAAAATTTACCCTATACGCAATTAATAATTTGTTAATTTCTCCCTAAATATGTCTTGTCTTACTTACTAAATATGCAAATCTACGATTATTACCCAGGGTTGTATTTTAAAAAATTATACATTATATTAAGCAAGTCACAAACTATTTAACTCATTATATACTTTCAATTAGTGTATGTCGACAAGCCTATCGTTACTCCTCACATGCAGGCTTTCTGTTTTCTATAAAAGTTGTTTTATACAGTGCAATGCACTTAAAGAATGCCTTGCCCGATCATAATGTTTTCATTTGCACATCCTGACAAAGATATATTTAACATGTGCGGTTGTATGTAACACGGAAAAGGAGTCGAGATAGACGCAATTTCTATTATATTCGTCGATACAAAAGCATTTTCCGAATGAATCTAAGCTTGTCTGTCCGTCTGTCCTTCCTATTTGCTTGTGCTGAACCAACCGACCGCAAGTTTTGAGATATTTGGCAAAGTTTTGTACATTCTCATGTTTTGACCCAAAACGAACGCTCTTGATAATGGTTCGGACCTGAGCACTTTTGCGACTATTATCCATATAACAACATTTCAAAACATAGCTTTTAGAATGGTGTACCTTAATTAAAGGGGGCCCATGAACCACCGTAGTGTTTCTACTCTTTTTCTATGTGTGCTATCTTGGAGAAAAAAAAAAAAGAAACAAATGCTCACCATTATTAGTTAGTATACCTAAGTACGTAAAACTCGTGCAAAATTATGATAAACGTGCGTTTTGAATACATTTATGATATCTCTTAATCAGTGAAACTATCATTCACTTGGTTCCGGATCACAAATTCAACATTGACCTTATCTTTCTCTGTTCAAATATAAACAAAGCAGTCTCAGAAAGTTTGCTTTGCATCTGATGAAAAATTTATCGCTTATTTACCAGCTGATTGCGATTATAAAAGTTTAGGATTGCGTTATATTTACATGTTTATATATGTAAATAATGGTTGGAAATTTTTGTCAGCCTTTCAGCTCCGGATCATTAAGTAAATAAATAAAAATATCACTAGTATGGTGCCGGATCACCATTGTTGATAATGTTGTAAATGTCACACAGGTCAACTAAAAAAAACAATTAAGAAAATTATATGCAGTTATGAACGAATCTTCCATATCCGGCCCCTTTGCCTTAAAGACATTCAAACGAGTAAATAAATGATATGTAGCTATAGTGTTTTTCTTACAAAAAAAAATTGTCAGAAAAGAAGAAAACAAATCAAATTTCTCTACCTTATAATGCTGAGTGGGAGGGGCTGCTTTTTCAGTTTTTTTTTTTTTTTTTTTTGTGATATATTTACCTAAGATCACCCATAGAATATAATTGCAATCCCTTATGACTGTATTTGTTATAGTGTACGGAGTAATGACCAACAAAAAAATCAAATCTTCTACACCCTATATCACTTATGGCGTGGAGTATATTTAGTTTATGCGGCCGCATGGAACACACAAACGGGATTAAGATAGACTCACCTTTTATTACGTCATGTTCTGAATCGATATAAGCCTTTCTATTCGTCTGTCCATTTATCCATCTGATAACTGCCCACGTAAATTTGTGTTCAAGTTACAGGTCACAATTTTTAGGTATATTTTGATAAAATTTAGTACACTGACGTGCTCTGACCCAAGGACGAATACCATTGAAAATGTTTTAAATTGTTTTACTCTTCTCACCAAAACTCTCTCTGCAATAGTATTTGAACATTCTGGACATTGATATGACAAATTTGATTCGGCTGGAGCAATTTTTTGAATCCTCTTTCATATTACCTTTTCTACGAAAACTAAATCTTTATATAGCAACAAGGTACAATTTTTAATATTTTATAGTGAAAATTACTTTATAATATTATAGTCAATCTTAGAGAATTTGAACCAGGTAGGAGCACTTTTAATGTTTTTACTAAATTCGAAACCCAATATTTGATGGGGATCATGGTGAATGTACAATGAAAGTTCAATGCGTATGAAGGCATCTAAGATGGCTATAATGACTTCTCCTAATAGTGACATGTAGTAAATGAATATCTCGCTTCACTTCCAGATAAAAGAAAATAACAAAGCGAAAAATTGAATAGGGACACTGGTTAATTCCAATTGCTAAACTATAATAAAGTATTTTGATGAAATTTCATTTATCCATAATTTTTATAAAAAAGATTTATTTTTTCTAAAACTGTACAAATTATTATTAAATCTATGCGCCACCTTCGAACATATTTATATAAAATAGATAATTAAGTGTAAAAGCAATACTAACAATAAATTAAAAACTTAAGTACACTTAAAAAAACCGAAATGAAACTAACATTCATTCGAATTCGATTCTTTACCGGTTTTATCTTTAATACTCTTTGGTAAGAATAATATTAGAAAGGCGCACGATATCATTGCAAAGCAGGATATATAGAACGTTAATTCACAGTAACTAGACAAAAGAGCACCAACAAAATTCGTACCCACAACACTGCCAACGCGACCCATCATCAATGATATGCACATCGCCATCGCCCTAAAACGCAAACCAGATAAAGATAAATTGTTTATTTAGTAAAAAAGTGAAATTAATATGAATTTATTTAATAGTTGTTACCTTAATTGAGTAGGATATAGCTCGACTGTGGCAGCTCCTAAAACATTTATAGCTACGCCTACAAGAAATAGTAAAACGTAAAAGATAGCCGCCACTGGCGTGTAAGGCAGCCAAACAGCAACCAAACCACAAGAGGTAAAGAAAACAATAATTATAACTGAAAATATTCAAATTAAAATGCATATTAAATAAAAGTTAATAAAAGATAATGGTCTTTACACTCTACACCACTTGTGCCCAAGGTACAAGGGTATGATAAGTTTGTGCATCACTTTCTAAATTGGTCTAAGCATGTGTGTCCGTCGCTTCATTTGTCTACTATTCAGTTTACAATTTTAATGCAATTTTATGCACCGACACGTTTTTGGTCGAAGGTCCGAATGCTTTTCAAAATGATTCAGATCGGATCGCATTCCATATAACGTTACATGAATAGGCGATGAATAAGCGAAGTCGAACTAAGTGGTGTAGGGTGGGCTGTTTCATTTTCACGTTTAATAAAAATTATTTTAAAGTCCTTACATAATATCGTTATCTTTCCGATGCGATTTATAATTAAACCTAAAAAGGCGAACGATGATGCATATAAAATTTCCATTAAAAGTGAATACATGAATGTCGTATCCTCCAATTTGTTAGTGCATTCCATTGACTAAAATTAATATAAAAAAATGAAATATTTAAGGTAATGAAGTGAAACTCTTTAATACGTACACCATCGTTATGATAGAGAAATTCATCTTTGTCATAAACAATTTGACATAATAGTTTATTTTCACCGGGATGAGTATTCATAAATTCACTCATTGAATTGATTATATGAGGAAACCACATATACAGACCGTTAACAATGAGGTAAATCCAAAATTGCGTTGTGCACACAATCAGAGTGGAACGTAAATACTTTTTATGGAATAATGGAGTTGTTTGATTCCACATCGTATTCAGAAAAGTTTTCAATAAACTTGAACTTTTCATAGCTATTTTGATTTCGGCACAATCATCTTCTGGCAATAAGTGAGGCAACTGAAAACAATAAGAAATTTCATTAAAATTGATTAAATACGATTAAATACTTTTTAGTTATAGTTGTTGCACATATTAACCGAGCTTCACTGATGATACGAGTATGCGTTCGAAATCTTAATTAAAAAGTAATATGACGATGGGATGACGAGTTTGTATATCTTGTCTTTAGATGAAAAATGGCCTGAACTTTTTCATGATTTTATTGAAAAAGCTTGACTAAAATATCGCTTCTTGAGCGTAAAGAAATACCGGAATAGTCTATCCTTTCGCATATTGACATATTTATCCACGTCCCTTTTGTTAATTCTTATATCCATCCCATCTTATTCGAACGTCAAATGAAAAACGAAAATTAATTTTCTATTTCGCTCATACTCTGAGTGAAGACTTGGACTAATGTCTCGATGACATTCGAATATTTTCGTTCATCTCATCTTGCCTTGACTTAAGTTTACGAACTTATAAGTTAAACTTAATATTCAATATATGAAGAGCGAAAGATGAATTTAGAAACAGTTTCTCAATAAGTGTTCCATACTGAAGTTCGAATGCTGAATTGCACAATGTATTCCTGCTTGAAAAACGAAAAATCTATTTTTTTGTAGTAAATTTGATTTACCCATTCGACTAAGAAACGCTTCGAATTTTGGAATGAGAATTACATGCGGACATATGATGAATGACAAAAATAATGTAATGAAAAATTAAAATTAATTCAGTTACCTTCAATTCATCTTTACCACAATTTATGCGATATATCTTCTGTAGTACTTGCTTAGCTTCTTCTTCTCTTTTAGCGGAAAGTAAATATTTGGGACTTTCAGGCAAATAGTATAAAGAAAGTCCGCAAAATAGACCAGTTATACCGCAAACAATGATAAATAAACGCCAAGGCTTGTAAATAATACCCAAGAATGGTAATGGGAAAGACCAGTCTTGATTTATGACTATGAATGCCAAGAATGGCATACACATGGCACCTAAGGCAAATATAAATGCTGAGCCCATCATTGCCCGGGAACGTGTACGATCCATATGAAATTCACCTAAGTAAGCATAGATTGTAGCCGAACCACCGGATATGCTAAATTGATAATAACAATATATTCGATTATAGCAATCAATCTTGCGGATGTGTGAAATGGAAAAGAAACTTACAAGAATCCGTTGAGTAGCCGTAAAATTAGGATTAACCAAAAATTTGTAGCAAAACTAGAAAATAAAGTGACAACAAATGAAGCCAAAATTGTTGGCCGTATAACGCGGCGACGACCTTTTGTATCAGCTAGAAAACCCCATAGATGTGAACTTAAAATCATTCCCACATAACCGATAGCACTTAGTAAACCTTTTCGGAAATTCGTTAACCCAAGATCACACTGAGCGACCGGCATAATGAAAGCTACGCCAGATGTTTCCAACAGAACATTAGATAATACCAAACCCGATAATATGATGATATAATAATTAAATCTACCAAACTCTAAAAATTTGAATAAACTCTATTGATCAACTTTTTTCACTTTATTATTTATTTTTTTTTTTTGCATTCATGCGCCTACTTGTTCTTTCCAAAGCCTCTGAATAAGGAATCGATTCATCGGGACGTTTCTTTTTATCATTATCCACGACACCACTTTCTTGTACACTCACTTCTTGTACAGTTACTGGCAGTACTACAAAAAAAAAAAAAAATAAATAATAAATAAACAAATAAGTAAATAAATAAATAAATAATTAAATAAAATTTTTTATAAATCACAAAATATTTTATATAATTTTATTATATATCATTGATCACGATTGACTTAATTACCCATTTTGAATTTTCTTTGAATAGTTGAACTTTTCAACTTTTGCCTTTGAATATTAAAACGTACAGATTTTCGAAAATATTTCGTTCGTTCATTAACAAAAATTCAACGATATCAATTCTCCTGATGTTGATCTCAGTCAAATCGCCGTCCGTTTTTGTTAATGAATTATTTCAGGGCAAAAGTACTGCTATTTAAATATTTCACGTCATATCATTAACTGAGAACTTTCACGGGTTTTAAGTTCTTATCTGAACGATAAGACTAAGAAAGCATGGTAAATTTTACCGACTTGTTTATTGTTCATCTCATTACCGATTTGTTTGCGCAAAAAAAAAAAAAAAAAGTAAGAGCAAAAAAAAAAATGCGCTTAGATTTATTTTTATAACTTTTTACAAAACACAGTGAGCTAAGTGCGAGACACACGAAAATAATTTTATTATAGCAAAAGTCTTTGCGCTAAACAATTCACTTCAAATAGTTGACATAGCGGCAAAATATAATAATTTTTATAACCATCATGCAATGTCTAAATGATAATCGTATCTAGACAAAATCTAAATAAGACAAAGCAATAAAACATTCTGCAGAGCATTTTCAGGGCCAAAATTTCATTTCGCATTCTTAAGCGAATAATATTATATTATATTGTTAATATATATTGAAACAGTTTTTGCATTTTGAGCTTATGAAAGAAAATACATCTCAAAATAATGCAATCTTCTCCTTACCCCTGAATGGATTTGTAGAAGCACAAGCCAGACCTACTAGTATTCGTTCTATCACTTCATATAACCCAGTGGTACTAAATCATATGATCTAGGGAGAGACAGAGAGAGAGAAAGAGAGAGAGAGAGAGAGAGAGAAAGAAGCAAAGAGAGAAAGTACATGGCCAGGACACATTTCATACAGTAATTGAATTTTTTCATCGGATATATGCCATGCGTGTTGCTCTCTCTCTCTCTAGGGTAACACTCCATTTTCACTAAACTGCCCTAAACTGTCAGCTGTCAAAGTGTAGATTTTGAAACAATCAATATACATTTTTAAAAATAAACAAATTCTTATGGATCGCTCCTTCATGCAATTGCATTTAAACTTTACCTGATAAGTTTATCGAAAGGAATATTCATACACAGTTCACTTATCGTAATTTATTGATCCGCCTGGGTGGCCGAGTAGGCAAGAGTCTCGACTAGCAACTCTCAGTGGTCGTGGGTTCAAATCTCAAGTGCTGTAGAGCTCAAGTCTTAGAGATATGCTAATGCTTTAAGACTTTAGTCTTAGAATTTATTCTCTGGCTAACTAAATTAATAATAATAATAATAATAATAATAATTTATTAAATTGACTTAATGACAGGTTCTACAAGTCATGTAAAAATGTTTTTAACATCGATTGCATCATTTCTCCTAACAAGATAAATTCACTTTCGCAAATAAATTCAGAGATTTGTGTTGCTGCAGTCAAACAATCACATTTTCAACGGGGGAAGACATTCTATCAAGTTGAAAATCAAACGCCTTTTCGATGTAAAACACTTATATAATATAGATTAAATAATAAGTATGCGCTCAGCACGCCTAAGCATGCCATCTTATTTACAAGGGCTATTGAAATAAATGCCAACGAGAGCGCTGAGCAAAGTGTGTGTAAACGAACAAAATATGATTAAAGATGCGGGCTGGCGGGAAAGTGTACATGAACATTCTGCTAACTTGTTGGCTTGGAGACTTGGACCTACTATCACTCATCATAGATCCGAGAATGTGCTCTAAAACGAAAACAACAATTGGCCCATGTGCCTAATTTTAAACACAAGGAAAGCAATTTCTATTTTTTTTATATCCAAAATAAAATATCGGGAAAATCAAATCGTTTGACCCTTGCATATAGGATTTGTCGTTGAACCTAGCTGAATCAACGACAGTTCACTCAGAAATGAAGCAATCTCGAACTGTCGAACTTTTCGAAACTGTAAACGACTATAAACTATAAGCAACGTAACGTTAAGATTTTATTAGCTTCACAGATAGAATTTCCACATTTTTCGAGAGTAGTTTGCATTACTTCTAGAATTAATTATACATATATTTATTAAACTAATATTAAAACACTTAGTCGCTAATAGTTGAATTAAATAAATTTAAAAAAAAAAAAAACTCGAATATAATTATTGTTATTACAATTGCTTGTTAAGCATTTTAAATTGCATTATTTGCAGTCGTTAAAACAGTATTGGCGCGATAAGCGCAGCTTCAATATTATACTCTGGCACTGAAATTACTCGAATACTAAAATAAGTTTAACGGCTTTATGCTCCTTTTCAACCAATACAACGCGGGTTAGAACTAAGCATTCAACACAAAAACTTTCTTTTTAAAAGTTTTTCCAATTGCCCTCAAAAGCCATGAAACCTTTAAAGTGAATAACTAACTAACTGTACGGCATAGTGCATACAAATTGAAAGCAAAAAAACTTGAAAGGGGTTTTTCGATTTATCAAAAGAAGACATTTCTGTTTCCGACATAGTGCTATGTCCTACTGAAGTATTAAACAGGGATTCTTGCACATAATACGGGCTGCAACTGAGACGAAGGTTGAGTACATAAGATACAACAAAGTGATTTTCGGACTCATGCATGCTTGATAGCATGTTGTTAAATCCATCTGAGAAATATTTCAATTGCTTTGGTAGGATGCATTGCATATATTTTCGCCATATATTTTAGACACATCAACACATTCCCATAAACATGTATCTTCGTCTACATAAGACAATTTTTTCGTAGACGTTAAAAAATGTTTCAAACCCTAGATTGCTTTCAAAAATAACTTACTTTTCCATCGCGCAGAGAACGCGTCCATCGTCCACTTCTACCTAGAAGTTGTGCCTAACGAAGAACAATAAATCCCCTTTTGTATTGTGTTTTGTAATTTGCGAGAGAAATCGCTTTATACATTAATGCATTTAACCTCAACAATGTAAACACATTTACGTCTAAGATATTAAAACTTCGAACAATACTCTACCAATACATATATGTATTTCCGATCAAAGTTTTTTCCGTACAGAAAGAAAAAGAAACTAAGCCGAAGAGTTTGTGTGTACTCAAAAACAAAAGGCGGCAGACATTGAATGGTCCATTCCATTGTACCTTGTCATGGAGGGCGACTTCGTATTGCTTGATTATGAGCCTTTTGCAATTGTCGGTGAGCTAAGCAGGTTCTTGATTTACCCTTTAGGCTTTCAATAAAGACAGTTTCAAAGCAAAGTTAAAATCTCCAAGGAAAATTATTATACTATCAAAATCGAAAAAAAAAGGAAGAAAACACTATCGGTTCGTTGTTTACTAGCTGGACCTATTAATTAGGTCAAAAGCTAGCGAAGATTGACTCTAAAGAGAAATGTTTATAACTATGTGGGCAAATAAATTCCGCTAATCATTTATACATATATACATTTATGTACATATATATATCAAGAATTTATAGATGGGAAGATTACGTAGTATGTGAAAAATATATGAGATATATTTAATAACATATATATCAGTTGTGAAGAATTGTGCGTTAGAAATATTTGAAAAACTTAACTTACTCTAAATGGTCCGCTCAAATTTCATTGTATTTATATAATTATATAAATACTTCCGTATCGACCGGAAATATGAATAGGTTATTAAAAATGATCGTAAAGTTTTTGGCTTCTGCTGACGCCTCTGTTCGCAAAAATATAATAAACCCTTAACATATCGCATCTTATATATAAAACTTTTATATGTTAAGAACTTGGGGCTTATTAAATAACCAAAAACAAAATAAGCAAGTAATAGCGTTATAGTGGGCCACGGTCTAGCATTAGATATCCTACACCATTCCGTTTAATACAATGGTTCATATAATGGCTTTTAAAAAAAAGGACTCTATATGGGAAGTAGTCGCATTCAAGGCATTTTTAGTAACAATCGTCGTGCTAGAGCCAAAAAACATCGGTCATATTTCAGCAAAATATCTCAAAATATTTCCTGGATTGAACGCAAGAATCCAAGACGGGCAGATGGAAAGATGGACGAGCAAGCCGAGATCGATTCGAAAAATAATTCAGATATCGGCCGGACTGACCGACGGTAAAAGTTTAGATCGATTCAAAAAGTGAATTACAAATCAGAACGACAGACAAACAGAGAAGCTTAGAAAGTGATTCTGAACCGTTCGTTATAATAAAAGGTTGATCTGTCTCATGTCCTTCCGGATGTTATATACATTCGAATAATCTTAACATACAAATTTATACCACAAGTGATGTAAGGTATAAAAAAACAATGTTTAAATCTAAGGATACATATCTACATGTAATATAACAATGTTTTAATCACAATTCTTGGATTCTATCTAGTTTCAGCCAAATATTTCTGAAAATTCAAAAACTTCGTGACATGTATAAATTCCGTCTTAATATAACTTGCTATAGTTTATTTAAACGTTTTCCACTTGCAGATAATTTCGTCAGACATTCGTCGACATTCGTCGACAGAATTTCGTCGACAGACGTAATTCATTTCTGAGATATAATGCAAACTCTGCCAGGAAAAATAACTCAGTATATATTATCGACACATTTCTGTTGACTGTCGTAAAACGTGTTGTTGAAAGCGACATAGTGTGACAATATTATAATTAAACGCTATAATATATGTAAAACAGGTAGAATCAAACAAAACGGGTATTATTATTATACTTTCATTTACCTGATATAGTAACAATAAAATACAGGGTAATAATTAATATGTGCATTAACTATAATATCTCTGCTAAAGACCTAAGGAAAATTATTTAATTAAAGGTTTGCTTGCCGAAGT